CAATGCCTGTACATACCCTGTACAATCACCACAAGTAATGCATCTAGCGCCCTGTCACTCATTAAACACTCAAAACCTTTAGACAGGGAAACAAAGGATGGTGTTTATTCTGTGTCACACAGTGGGCCACTGGGATCCTGTGGGTTTGGGTCGTTTTAGGGTGAATCAACTATCAATCAAAGGAAGAGAAGGACAACTGATCACAAAACAGTCAAATAGGGGCAGGCCACACAAAACAACATACTGACTGACTTCAAGCCAGACAGACAAGCCATCTCACAGACAGCAAAATACACCCCGTTGAGTGATGTTCTTTGGGTCTTGAGTCATATTCTTCAGGGAACATAAGGATTTGTCATCTTTTCTGTTGACCTGGATACCCAAAACCTTGTTAATGCTCACATTACAAGCCCAGTGAGTCAAACAGTGGAATCACCGAGTGTGTGAGTGTAGAAAGGAGATCAGGCGACTCGTTATTCAGGGTCTTCTGAGTCAAAGTGGAAAATCAGATGTGCAGGAGAACTAATCTACTGTCTGAGAGAAAGACAGATACTGAGCTGAAAAGAGGTTGAATGAAAAAAATATGTTGCATGATATAAACTTGCAATTGCGAGTTATAAAGTCGGAATTGTTAGATATTAACACGCAATTCAGATTTTTTTCTCAGGATTGCGTGATATAAATTCGCAATTGCGCATTATAAAGTCAGAATTGTGAGAAATAAAGTTAGAATTGCAAGATATAAACTCTTAATAACTTAACTCAGAATTGCATGATATAAACTCGCAATTGCAGCTTATAAACTCAGCATTGCGAGATATAAACTCAAAATTGAATTTTTTTCTTCAGAATTGTGAGTTTATATCTCCCAATTCTGAGGAAAAAAAAGTCAGAATTCCGAGATATAAACTCGCAATTGCGAGAAAAAAAGTCAGAATTGCGGGGAAAAAAGTCAGAATTGCGAGAAAAAAAAGTCAGAATTCCGAGATATAAACTCGCAATTGCGAGAAAAAAAGTCAGAATTGCGGGGAAAAAAGTCAGAATTGCGAGAAAAAAAAGTCAGAATTGCGAGAAAAAAAGTCAGAATTGTGAGATAAAAAGTCGCAATAACCTTTTTACATTTTTTTTATTAAGTAGCAGAAACGGGCTTCCATAGTTTTGAGGTCTCCTTACCGAAAGGTTTAAATGAACATTAATAAAGTTATTTTTATAATGAGAGTACACTGAAAACTGTAAATAACAATAGCAATAGTAAAAACAATCACTGCTTGTTTTTATATTCAGATAGATGCAGATGTAACCTAAAACTGTATACATGTGATTTAATATAAGTAATAATCAAACTCTTTAGTCCAGTTTTCATGTTGCATTGTAGTCTATACTGTTGTCACTGTAATGTATTACACACATGGTGTGTTTATTCTCATAATCGTGACTGAATGTCTTACAATTCAAACTGAACTTCTTATATCTGCAATTAAATTTCTTTCTTGGACACTTTGCAGTTGTGACATTCATAACAATGTGATATATGTGGCTGTTTGGACACAAAATGTAGTCTTTCTAAAAAAATGTCAACTTGACAATGATAGTATTGTAATAGTACAACACCGATTATGTGATGTTCAACGATTAGATTTTTACTAGCTACTTGACAAAACGCATTTGCAAGATGTAAAGTTGTAATTCTAAGACACTCTTCGTCTTCCAAGCACAATTTCATATAAAGAGGCAGTCTGTCCACGAGAGTACGTGACAGATCTGAGCATCTCACCGAGTCCTTGATGGCCATGAAGCAGTGGCAGATCCAGCGGCGCGTGGTCCCGTCTCTGCAGATGTAGGAGAAGGCGTGCTCGAAGTTACGATCAGGTGCACAGAAGGACACCTTCTCTATCGTCTGGTCTAGAATGAGATCCTGGGAACAAAACAGGCAAAATGCATGTCATTCCAACTGCCATTTATATTTTCACAAAACACCAGTGTTTCAGTGTGCCGTCACACATCTGCTCTCATGCTGAATTCAAAAGCAGTGAAAAAGGGAGACAAAAATGCATGTTTTTGCAAAATGCAAAAATGTTTAAATATTTAAAAGATTTAAATTGTGGATTTAAGTATTATTTTGATTTTATTCAATTCTAAAAAGAAATATATTACTAAAGTAATTATACTAGTGTACTGAATAATAAAAAAAGGGTATTTAATAATAATGATTTTATACAAAGCAAGAAAATAAATGATACTAAAATGATCCTACAATTCTGATAGAATTGCGAGAAAAAAAAGTCAGAATTGCGAGAAAAAAAGTCAGAATTGTGAGATAAAAAGTCGCAATAACCTTTTAAAAATTTTTTTATTAAGTAGCAGAAACGGGCTTCCATAGTTTTGAGGTCTCCTTACCGAAAGGTCTAAATGAACATTAATAAAGTTATTTTTATAATGAGAGTACACTGAAAACTGTAAATAACAATAGCAGTAGTAAAATCAATCACTGCTTGTTTTTATATTCAGATAGATGCAGATGTAACCCAAAACTGTATACATGTGATTTAATATAAGTAATAATCAAACTCTTTAGTCCAGTTTTCATGTTGTATTGTAGTCTATACTGTTGTCACTGTAATGTATTACACACATGGTGTGTTTATTCTCATAATCGTGACTGAATGTCTTACAATTCAAACTGAACTTCTTATATCTGCAATTAAATTTCTTTCTTGGACACTTTGCAGTTGTGACATTCATAACAATGTGATATATGTGGCTGTTTGGACACAAAATGTAGTCTTTCTAAAAAAATGTCAACTTGACAATGATAGTATTGTAATAGTACAACACCGATTATGTGATGTAGAACGATTAGATTTTTACTAGCTACTTGACAAAACGCATTTGCAAGATGTAAAGTTGTAATTCTAAGACACTCTTCGTCTTCCAAGCACAATTTCATATAAAGAGGCAGTCTGTCCACGAGAGTACGTGACAGATCTGAGCATCTCACCGAGTCCTTGATGGCCATGAAGCAGTGGCAGATCCAGCGGCGCGTGGTCCCGTCTCTGCAGATGTAGGAGAAGGCGTGCTCGAAGTTACGATCAGGTGCACAGAAGGACACCTTCTCTATCGTCTGGTCTAGAATGAGATCCTGGGAACAAAACAGGCAAAATGCATGTCATTCCAACTGCCATTTATATTTTCACAAAACACCAGTGTTTCAGTGTGCCGTCACACATCTGCTCTCATGCTGAATTCAAAAGCAGTGAAAAAGGGAGACAAAAATGCATGTTTTTGCAAAATGCAAAAATGTTTAAATATTTAAAAGATTTAAATTGTGGATTTAAGTATTATTTTGATTTTATTCAATTCTAAAAAGAAATATATTACTAAAGTAATTATACTAGTGTACTGAATAATAAAAAAAGGGTATTTAATAATAATGATTTTATACAAAGCAAGAAAATAAATGATACTAAAATGATCCTACAATTCTGATACTAATATTCATGGCTGTGAATAACATTCACATGTTAAACCACAGGGAGACTTTAACGCTTCTCTTTTGTTAACAACAGATTTATAAACGATTTTCATGACAAATTTGGGAAGATGAAAAATTATTTAGCAATTTCTGCTTTTGCAGGCATCTGCATCAGTAAAAGCCTGTACATTTTTAAAAATTCAGCAGCATTCAAATGCAACTAAGTGGACCATGTGCCAGACTAAAACCCAGCAGGCCTTCATGCACCGAAGAGCAATGACTGACTCTCACCAGCAGGTGGCAGAAAACGCAGAATATGACAATTGATTCATTCACCTGCACCGCATGCTGATCCAAACCTCTTCCATGAACACAAAAAAAAAGACATTTTGAGAAGACGCTCTTTTCTATGCATTTGCAATGAATGGGACTGAAGCTTTCAGTGACGCAAGAGCATTGTAAAAGCATCATGAATGTGGACAGGATGATTTACACAAGGATTTCCAAAGTCTTCTAAAGCCATTTACTAAAGATCTTGACATCTAACATAGTGTTATTTTACAAAGATGCTATTATATTTTTTCTTAATATTTTGAATTAATTTTCATATTTTCCTTTTAAGCTTTAGTAATTTTGTTAGTGTGCCTTATTTTTATTAGTTAGCATTTTTAAATATGTTCATATTTAATATATTAGTTTTTTCTATTCATATTTATGTCAACAAGCTGAATTTTTTTTTTTTTTAAATGATATTGCAGTTTATGTTTATTTCTTTTTAAGCAACACTTTATGGTTTTAGTTTTAGTCAACTATAATAACCATGGTCTGCATTAGTTTTCCTTTCTCAAGAGTTCACGAACGAATCGTTCTTATGACTCAGACATTTTCATTTAATAGGCTGGCTCTGATTCACATCATCATTTTGAAATGATTTGTTCACAAATCAGACAGTGCTCACTCCACTGAAGAAGGTCATGGATGTGAGTAAATGATGACAAAAAAAATTTAATCTGAATTCTCTTTAAGTGCACTTTTTTTTTTAAATGGTCAAGATCTAATTCTTCATTATGATCTACAGTACTGTATTTATCTGTACTGTGGTTATCTGGTGGATCATCACAGGTCAGTCTAGAGTCCTTCGGTACCTTTGTCTTGTCATCTACGACCCTCAGGCCATCCGCAGACACCCATAGCACCGCTCGCACGGCCTTCTTACCCGCCTGTGTGGACACACACACAACACACACAGTGAGAGACGGACGGGAAAAGAGAAGAGAGCTGATTTTCCCACAAGATCCCCCTGTTGAGGCCCTTCACCCTCTTCGACTTTCATACAAATGCACTTTTCATCTACCAACAACACCTGAAAACAGAGAAAAGTTAAAAAACAGTGAGTGTTGAGAAGGTTACAGTAGTGTTATGAGCAGGCATGTTGTATAACGCGAGAAAGAAAGAAACAGCAGAAGTGAACCACTCAAACAAACACACATCCTGATTCAGGGAGCTTGAGTGTTCACACTTAACAGTGCAGAAATTAGCTGTTTCTCACACACACACACACACACACACACACTTTCGTTACATAAAAGACGACAAGATGAGTTCAGAAACTCAATTTGCCCCTTTGCACACACTCTTCTATTGCTCCAGGCATGTTTTAGGAGCAAACGAATCTATCAGTGGAGGGGGAAAAATAAAGTGTACACACATTCACACACGTTTGAGCCACAAACATACTCTATGCAAGTACACAAACAGTCATTCAATCACATTGTGACTGTAGTGGCACCAGACTTCAGTACTCAGGAGCAGAGGTCGATCGATATGCTGTTTTTACAGATTAATTAGCACCAATTGTTGCTTTGTGGAAAACTGGTTAAATCAGTGTAATAGAGCGCCCTCTAGAGGCGAAATAAAACCAGCTGTGACATGTGAATACACTTTGTATTAGGGAAAAGCCATACAATACGAATTATCATTACATTTAGTCATGGTACAATAAATCAACCATTTAGGACAGTGTTTCTCAACCAGGGGTCCGTATGAATTTTTGTATACATTTTGTATATTTTGACATGACATGTTCCCATGAAAGAAAAATCCAATATAGTTGATAATATGGCCAAATACTGGACAAGTCAGCTAATTTGAATTATACTTGACTGCATTTGGTCCTCACAAAGACACAAATGATACATAGATGAGTCAATTTTGTTCTGGGGGTCCTTGAGGATGGTTCTGAATTGGACTGGGGTCCGGTAAGCCAAAAGGTTGAGATTCACTGATTTAGGACAATCAAATAAAAAAATGGAGTACTGCAGTAATGACGTGTTTTTGTAGGCCAAAACCTGGAAACAAGTTGTATTTTAGCACTTCTGGGTCCATCATCCTGAAGTCAATGGCTTTTTTGTTAAATGTTTGAAATAAGGTCTGTTTAACATAAGCTCAAGATATTTCCACATTTACATAAGTAACACCAGCTTGTGATTTTATTAAAGCTTATACTTGATTTGAAAAATGCGATTGCTGACAAGTGTCTAAATAGGACTACAAACAGGTTGTCGGGACACTAAACGTCTTCCCTAGCTGCTTTCACAGCCTCATTCTGCGTTTCTGCAGGATTTTTAGGCTCAAATTTAAGACCTGCACAAATAAAATTAATACCATACGAGCGAGGTAGGGCAATGTCTATGGTAACATATTAAACTGTAAAATGATTGTAAAAAGCCTGATTTGCAGTTCAGATACAGGTTTTCACAAAAACAAAATAATAATAAACTTCACATTTCAGCCTTTAAACCATTTTTAAGAAACTGGATGAGTCGAAACAGTGCAGCACCAGTCATGTTTATTTAATAAATCATAGCCTTTTGAAGTTTAATCGTCACATTTAGCCATATCGGAATTCTGGTCTTTCCGTCCCCAAATTTAAGACCTCTTGAAATCATAAGACTTAAGACTTTCTTGTACCATGGCCTTACATTTGATATAACTAAATGTAAGACTTTTTAAACCCTGCTCATTGTGCACTCTTTCAAACTATTGTAACTTGAACTTTCAGCGAAAGTTTTTTTTTTTTTTTTTTTTTTTTTGAAGAGTAGTTTAATTTATTTGAATCAGTTTTCGGACACATTTTCCAGTTTTAGTTATGGTTATCTGCAAAATCCAAGTGGGTGGTGATGTTTCCATCAAATGTCAGAGGTGCTGTCATTCAGATAACTTCAACTAACCTTCACAGAAAGATTGTCTTCCGTCATGACAGTAGCTAAATTGAAAGAGAAAACCGACTGAAGAAGGGGACTCTAAAGACCCTTGCAACAACACTGAAAATGCAGCATGATTTTGCATTATAATTATAAACCGAGGACTGAAGCAACAACATAAATTCAAGCTTGAGTACTTGCATAGAGTATGTTCAGGACGGTACATAAATGCACACAGCAGAACTTACTTTTGCAAAGAAGCCCTTGAAGAACTTTCTGTCCTGGAATGGAGGTTGGTAAGGGGATGTTGGTGGGAGGAAAAGGCAGGAGAGGGTTACAAATGAACTCAGACACAATGTCCTGTGCGTGTCAGGACGGACTCTGGTTTGAGGGGGTTTGATGGTTAGGAATGACAAAGTGGTGAAGTATGGAGAGGAGAGGAGGGAGAGATCACACCTCTAGTTCACCAATCAGCCGTCAGACTCACCACGTGTGCATGTGTGTCGATGTTATTGGTGCTGTTACAGTTCTAGTATTATTACTCCACTATGTGAGTTCAATTATTTCACTATTCTTAAAGGAACAGTTCACCCATGAGTAATTGATCATTTACTCTCCTCATGACCTTCTAACAGATGTCAGGCAAAATGTTTACGCTGCTCTTTTCCATACAATACAAGTTGATGGATGATATTGAGATACAAAAATTAGAAATCATAAAAGTAGACCATGCAACTCATAAGGCTGCAACTAGGTTAAAATTCAGTCAATTATGTTATTGATTAGATCAGTTGATTAATCTAGCAATAAACAAATAATCTAACCTCTATTAGTTATCATGAATAGTGTCGAGTATGATTTACGTCAATGTCTACTGCTAATTGTAGAAAAACCATGAATATAATTTGGAATTATTGTAATTAATATTTGGTATTGGTATTAAGTGTGTTAATGTATATGGCGAATATAATAAATCAGAAAACTAGATGATGCACAATAAACCCTGTATACGAGTTGACTTTTTCTTGATTCATGCTTATGTGAAAGTGCAATAATTCTGATGAAATGTTAAAAGAAATTTCTGAACTTAGAAAAATCGTAATTAATAATAGCGATTATAATTTTTGAGCAAAATAATCATGATTAGTTTAAGCATTATCGTGCAGCCCTACAAGTCACACGGATTACTTTCATGGAGCTTTTTCTGAGCTCAACGGCTTCTGTCTCTATCACTTTCTTCATATGGAAAAGAGCAGCATGAACACTCTACTAAATTTCCTCTTTTGTGTTTCATTTAATAAAAGGGCCATACAGGTTTTGGTGGGGGTGAGTAAATCATGGCAGAATTTAGATTTTTGGGTGAACTATTCTCTTAAAGGAATCATGTTATGATGTTAGTGGTGGCAGCAGTTTTGAGCAGTAGTTCATTAGGATTGCTTCTGATAACCTCACATGGCATCAAAAGAGTCAGAGGAAAAGAACTGATCTTGACTCCGGTGTTCACTACAAACACACACCTCAGCTGAGAGAGGAAGAGTGTGAAGATTTCAAAATCACTCTTCAGCCACATACACACCAGGCTTATTATAGTTAACCAGAGCTAAAACCAACAAAAAAAATTTTCTTTTTCATTTAGTTTTACACTGACTTGTTAAAAAAAAACACAACAATAATTCCATGAAGAATTTGTAACATCCATGGAATCTTTCCATTCCACTTAAGGTTCTTTATAGTAAAAAAAGGTGCTTTAGATTTTGAAAACGTTCTTGAACTGTTGACTCAAAGGTTCTTTGGGGAACCAAAAATGGTTCTTCTTGTCGCGAAGACCTTTCCTTTTTTTAAGTGTACACACAGTGTTTGGTTATTTATGGGTATGATGATGGCATCTACTACTGAATTCACAAACAGCCGGTGTCATGTTTCTTGTTTACAGCTACGTGACTCCAAACTCGGTTATCACTATGGCAACCATAGTGAGTGTGAGGAAGTAGGACTGACTACTGTATATCATATGTGACCCTGGACCACAAAACCAGTCTTAAGTCGCTGGGGTATATTTGTAGCAATAGCCAAAAAAAGCATTGTATGGGTCAAAATTATTGATTTTTCTTTTATGCCAAAAATCATTAGGATATTAAAGGCAGGGTATGTGATTTTTCAAAAACACTTTAGAAAACTGATTTGGGCCGAATAGCAAAAC